AAAACTCTCAATCATTATAGATGGAGAAAACAAGATATTCCATGACAAAACCAGATTTATGCAATACATATCTACAAATCCAGCCCTACAGAAAGTTCTAGAAGGAAAACTCTGACCCAAGGAAGTTAACTACACTCAAAATAACAAGGGCAAAGATAATCTAATTTTACCAGAGATCATAAATAGGCGAAAAACTCACACATAAAACCACCACCAAAAACGGATCCAAAGCAAACAAGAATCAACAATCAATGATCATTAATATCCCTGAATATCAATGGTCTTAACTCACCTATAAAAAGACATAGGCTAACAGAATGGATATGAAGACAGAATCCATCCTTCTGCTGCATACAAGAAACACACCTCAATTTCAAAGACAGATGCTACCTCAAGGATAAGGGTTGGGAAAAGACTTTCCAATCAAATGGACATAAGAAGCAAGCGGGTATAGCTATCCTAATATCTAACAAAAATATACTTCAAACTAAAATTAATCAAAAGAGATGAAGAAGGATGTATCATATTCATAATAGGAAAAATCCATCAGGAAGAAGTCTCAATTCTGAACATATATGCCCCAAATATAAAGGCACCCTGGTTCATAAAAAAAAAAAGTTACTACAACTCAAATCACACATTAAACCCCACACACTTATAGTGGGAGATTTCAACACCCCACTCACACCACTGGACAGGTCCACCAGACAGAAACTTAACAAAGAAACAATGTAATGAACAGAAGTCATCCCCCAATTGGGTTTAACAGACATCTATAGAACTTTCCACCCAAACAAAAAAGAATATACCATCTTCTCAGCACCACACGGAACCTTCTCTAAAATCGACCACATACTTGGCAGTAAGGCAAACCTCAATAGATAAAAAAAAAATTGGAATAACCCCCTGTATCCTGTCGGACCACCACGGCTTAAAATTAGAGTTCAACGTCAACACAAATTGCAGAAACCTCACAAATTCATGGAAATTGAACAATGCTCAATTGCATCACCCCTGGGTAAAGGAGGAAATAAAGAAATAAAAGACTTCCTAGAATTCAATGAAAACGAAGGCACAACATACCCAAACCTTTGGGATACTTTGAAAGCAGTTCTAAGAGGAAAATTCATAGCACTAAGTGCCCACATGGAGAATTGCCACACCAGAGAATTAACAGAACACCTGAAAGCTCTAGAACAAAAAGAAGCAAACTCACTCAGGAGGAGTACATGCCAGGAAATAATCAAATTGAGAGCTGAAATCAATAAAGTAGAAAAAAAAGAAAACAATACAAAGAATCAATGAAACAAAGAGTTGGTTCTTTGAGAAAATCAACAAGATAGACAAACCTTTATCAAACCTAACTAAAAGACAGAGAGAGAACATACTAATTAACAAAAGCAAAAATTTAAAAGGGGACATAACAACAGACACTGGGGAAATCCAAAGAATCATCAGGTCATACTTTGAAAATCTGTACTCTACTAAATTGGAAAATCTAAAGGAAATGGATGATTTTCTGGATAGATATCACTTACCAAAATTAAATCAAGAAGATATAAACAATTTAAACAGATCTATATCCCCTAAAGACATAGAAGCAGCCATGAAAAGTCTTCCAACCAAGGAAAGTCCAGGGCCATATGGTTTCAGTGCGGAATTCTACCAAAAATTCAAGGAAGAGCAATACCAATACTCTTTGAAGGATCACAGCCAAATTCTTTTTACAAGGCTACAATTACATTAGTAACCAAACCACACAAAGACACAACCAAGATAGGGAATTACTGACCAATCTCCCTCATGAACATTGATGCAAAAATACTCAATAAAATACTGGCAAATCAAATCCAAGAACACATCAGAAAAATCATACACCATGATCAAGTAGGCTTCATCCCAGGGATGCAGGGATAGTTCAACATACAAAAATCCATCAATGTAATCCACCATATAAACAATCTGAAAAAGGAAAACCACATGATCATCTCACTAGATGCTGAAAAAGCCTTTGACAAAATCCAGCACCCCTTCATGATAAAGGTCTTGGAAAGATCAGGGATAACAGGAACATACCTAAACATAATAAAAGCTATATACAGCAAACCAACAGCCAGCATCAAACTAAATGGAGAGAAACTAAAGGTGATTCCTCTAAAATCAGGGACAAGACAAGGCTGTTCCCTCTCTCCATATCTCTTCAATATTGTACTTGAAGTTATAGCTAGAGCAATAAGACAACAAAAGGAGATCAAGGAGATACAAACTGGAAAGAAGGAAGTCAAACTTTCACCAGTTACAGATGATATGATAGTCTATGTAAGTGACCCAAAGAATTCTACCGGGAAACTCCTACAGCTGATAAACACCTTCAGTAAAGTGGCAGGATACAAAGTTAACTAAAAAAAAATCAGTAGCCCTACTATATATAGACAATAAAAGGGATGAGAAAGAAATCAGAGAAACATCACCCTTTACAATAGCCACAAACACCATAAAATATCCTGGGGTAAAACCAAACAGGTGAAAAACCTGTATATCAAGAACTTTGAGTCTTTAAAGAAAGAAATTAAAGAAGATACCAGAAAATGGAAAGATCTCCCATGCTCTTGGATAGGTAGGATCAACATAGTAAAAATGGCAATCTTACAAAAAGCAATCTACAGCTTCAATGCAATCCCTATCAAAATACCAGCACAATTTTTCACTGACCTCAAAAGGACAATCCTCAACTTTATATGGAAAAACAAAAGACCCAGGATAGCCAAGGCAACCCTATACAATAAAGGAACTTCCAGAGGCATCACCATCCCTGACTTCAAGCTCTATTATAGAGCTAGAGGACTGAAAACAGCTTGGTATTGGTACAAAAGCAGACAGGTAGACCAATGGAATCGAATCGAAGACCCTGATATCAACCCGCACACCTTTGAAACCTGATCTTTGACAAAGAAGCTAAAACTATACAATGGAAAAAAGAAAGCATTTACAACAAATGGTGCTGGAGTAACTGGATGCTGGCATGTAAAAGACAACAGATAGATCCATATCTATCACCATGCACAAAACTTAAGTCCAAATGGATCAAAGACCTCAATATCAATCCAGTCACACTGACTCTCTTAGAGGAGAAAGTAGGTGGTACCCTTGAACAAATTGGTACAGGAGACTGCTTCCTGAATATAACACCAGTACTACAGACACTGAGATCGATAATTAATAAATGGGACCTCTTGAAACTGAGGAGCTTCTGCAGGGCAAAGGACACAGTCAACAAGACAAAACGACAGTCCACAGAATGGAAAAAGATATTCACAAACCCCACATCTGACAGAAGGCTGATCTCCAAAATGTACAAAGAACTCAAGAAGCAAGTTTCCAGAACACCAAAGGATCCAATTAAAAAATGGGGTACAGAACTAAACAGAGAATTCTCAATAGAGGAGTCCAAAATGGCCAAGAGACACTTGAGAAAGTACTCAACATCTTTAGGCATTAGGGAAATGCAAATCAAAACAACTCTGAGATACCATCTCACTCCCATCAGAATGGCTAAAATCAAAAACACTAATGACAGTTTATGCTGGAGAAGATGTGGAGAAAGGAGTACACTCCTCCACTGCTGGTGGGAATGCCAACTTGTGCAGCCACTTTAGAGATCAGTATGGAGATTCCTCAGAAAAAATGGAAATCAGTCTACCACAAGATCCAGCAATTCCACTCTTAGGCATATACCCAAAAGATGTATCCTCATACAATAAGGACTCAACTATGTTCATAGCAGCATTATTTTTAATTATTTGTAATAGCCAGAACCTGGAAAGAACTTAGATGCCCCTCAACTGGAGAGTGGATAGAGAAAACATGGTACATTTACACAATGGAGTACAACTCAGCAGAAAAAAAAATGGACTCTTGAAATTTACAGGCAAATGGATGGCACTGGAAGAAACCATCCTGAGTGAAGTAACCCAGTCACAAAAAGACAAACATGGTATGTACTCACTCATATATGGATTTTAGACATGGAGCAGGGTATTGCCAGCCCACAATCCCACCGCCAGAGAGTCTGGGGTACAGGGAGGACCTTAAGAGAGATATGCATGGTAACCCGGAGAAGGGTTAGGGGATGCAATCTCCTAATTATATGGGGGGGGGAGAGAAGGGGAGGGTAGAAGGAGATGGGAGAAAGAGAGGGAGAAAAGAGGAAGGGAGAGGAGGACATGGGGGAGCAGGAAGGTTGAAACAGGGTAAGAATAGAAGAGAAAAGGATGGAGCTACCATAAAAGAGGGAGCCAGTATAAGTTGGAGGAAAGATCTGGCACTAGTGAGATCTTCACAGATCTACAAGAATGACACCAACTGGCATTAAGGCTACCTTAAATGCCCTCCCATGATAATGAGAAGGATGACCACCTTATATGCCATCCTAGAACTCTCATCCAGTGGCTGATGGAGGCAGAGGCAGACACCCACAGCTGTGAACCGAATTGAACTCCTGGAACCCAGTTGCAAAGAACAGTGATGACCAAAGGAATCAAGATCAGGCTGGCAAACCCACAGAGGCAGCTGACCTAAACAAGGGGGAACACATGGACCCCAGATTGAAGACTGAGGGGCCAGCATGGGACTGATCCAGACACCCTCCCACCGAACCTGGGTGACAGAGAGGAGGCCTTGGCAATTTGTGGGACCTTGGAGAGTGCAGCAGTATTTATTCCTGGCATACAGAAGGACTCTGGGAACCCATACCACGTGGAGGGACGCTCTCTCAGCCAGGACACATGGGGAAGAACCTGGGCCCTTCCCGGGATGATGTGACAGACTCTGAAAATCCCTCATGGAGGCCCATGCCCTCCCTGGGGAGCGGAGGGGGGATGAAGTGGGGGTGAAGGGTTGGGAGGTTTGGAGGGTGGGGAAACAGGGGAGGGAGAGAGAACTGAAAGTAACATGCGTAAAAAGTTAAACAAAAAAAATATAAAAAACAGTTCACTTACTTATTTTATGATGGTTGGAGGATATTTTATTTAAAGGTAAAATCATGACTCCTATTAAAATATTACACAACTGAGTCATCACTGTGAGGGTGCTAACAAGATATCAGAATTGTTTTGAAGAGGAATGAACAGCAGACTAGACATGTAATCAGCAATGTTGAAATAAAGTTGTTACATCAAGAAATATCAAATTCTATTTTTTCCCTTGAGGTAGAAAACACCCCAACATAGATGAGGGAGTAGATAAAAGATATGCATATGCATGCAGAGACACAGGGATCTCCTAGAAATGGAGCTCAGTCAGACATGGAATCCTAGGCCAGAGAGGTATCTCTGATGATGGTAAAGCTGGAGAGAAAGGATATTTCTTGATGTTCACCCATTATGAGGCTAATCTGCCATTAAGGTCAGAAGGGGAAAGAGAGTGGACTTATCCATCAGTTGGTATTGCAACATTAATGTCTACCCTGAAGGCAATGGAGTGTTTTATCATACACATGATCTATTACACACACACACACACACACACACACACACACACAGGATCTATACAAACACATGTATATATATAATGGCATATACATATGTGTATGGAGTTTACAATTCCCAAATGCCATCATTCACAATGATTATAAGGAAACAAACACAAATAAGATTTCACTTTGGAACATTACGCATTTACATATATACTAATATATGTATGGATATATATTGGCACATATATAGTCACACAATGCTGTGTGTTTGTATGTGCATGTGCAATCCCTTCATAGAAATCATTTTATTATATGACTGTACTCAAGCTGTGTCCTGGATGTCTCTGTTTGTTATCTGATGACCCAATCATACTCCAGAGAGAGATGGGGTTGGCCATATTCATAAGACTGCAGTGTGTAAGCAGACTCAATCTGGTACCATACATTGCCTTCCCTTTTCTTTTCAGAGGCATGGATCCTGAACAAGACCCCCCCCCCCGCCCCACGTAGTATACCATGTGGTTCCAATGAAGCCACATGACCCCCCAGAGATGCCACACAGCCCATGGCAGCACCAGGGCTGCCCCTGTCACTCATAAGCAGGCAGACCAAACAGCTCAGGCTTGAAGTCCTCCAGGGAATGCAGCACCACTGTGGCCTTTCTTGTTAAGTCTTGACTCAGGTTTTCATCCGGAACCATGACAACCTGCATCCCAGCTGCCAGAGCTGCCTCCACTCCATTAGGAGCATCTTCAAAGACAAGGCACATGTCTGGGGAAGGAGTGGGATTGAACCTCCGTGCACAGGAAAGGAATATGTCTGGGGATGGCTTCCCGCTGTTGACCTCAGGATCATCTCCCAGCACAATGTGGTTGAACAACCCGAAGAATTCCTTGTGCCTGCTGGTCTTCATTTCAAAGGATACAGAGCCTGAGCTGGTGGCCAAGGCAAAGGGGATGCTATGCTTTCGGAGATGTTGGATCAGTTTCTCAGCCCCTGGCATGAGGGCAGCCGTGGGGAACAGGTCTGCCAGCTTGGCCTGGCTCTCCTCCACCAGTTCCTCCTTAGACATGGGCAGCTGCAGGACGTCGATAATGATCTGTGCGGCTTCTGGAGCCTTCTTCCCCATCACCAGGGACTTGACGTCCCAGCTGTACATCTTCCCATAGCGACCACACAGCTCCTGAAATACCACCGAGTACAGCTGCTCAGTGTCCAGAAGTAGTCCATCCATGTCAAAGATGAGGTGGGTGACAGGTCGTGGTGGGGTTATCTCCATGGTGCCTCCTTCTTAACCTGGAGTGGATGGAGGGGTTCATTTATTTTTAATTGTATATTTTGTGGCAATTGTATAATGTATTTTATTTATCATGTGCTAATAAATTAACAAGTAATAGTACATGCAAGTGACATAATGCTATTTATTATGTCTTTAATGTATAGTCACATAGGTTAATATATAGAGAATGTATTTGTGCATGCTCAAAAAGTTTATGACACAATCAAAAAACCTGAAAGACAACTGCATTAAAAGATGACATCTGGCCTTGCTATCAGCGACTGAAGCCTAAAGTTGTTTCATAATGCCTTTGATTGTAACACAGGGTGTATCTGGAAGTGGTTATTATGAACTATTATATTTAGAGCATCCTATTACATTATATATTGTATCTATAAAACAGATATAACTATTCCATCTAGAGTGTTGTGTTGCAGGGTGGGCAGATGGGAAGAAGCATCCAGGAGTGGTGGAATCTGCTACAGTCATTACTAACTACAGCCTGCATGTCCACACCCTGAGTAACAGTGCCTTCTGCTTTTTGCAGAAATAAGTGAATTAGTAAATGAAAGAATTTAGGCCATGGACTCACAGTTAACATAAGGGCTAGGTGAATGTTAACTAGTATTAACTTGGGTTTCTTTGAAATCAATGAAACAAATACAAAGCCCAGAACTAACGCTGCTACTTACTGCCCCTTGCTGGCCAATACTGCTTTGCACACCACATTCTCCATGGGATAGCTAAATACATAAATAAGCAAGACTTTCAGAATTCAAGGAAACATTAATGCTTCACTTCAGACTTTTTTCACAAAAAAATAGTGTGGAGAATTAACAGCCACGAAATTAAGTCATCTGAAAGGAAGAGAAAAGAAATAACCTTTAAGATAATTAAATTGCTAGGAATGGATTGTAAATCCAGTACTTAGGATATCAAGGCCAGATGGAGAGTTTAAGGTCAGTCTAGACTGCTGCTGGTTTAGCAGGTGAGAAACACTGGAGAGAAGATACAGAGTAGGTGAACTACTGGACAGATTCACAGACACACAGGAACTTTTCTGAGGTTCAAAGCTTAATTCTTCATTTTATTTTTCTCTTCCTGTTGTTCCTACTCTGTTCTTTCTTGGTTCTGTTCTTCTACCCTGATGTTCTTCCTTCTATTGTTTCCTTGATGTCTTCCTTCTATATATCTTTATATAGCTTATATAACCCAACAAAATCTTTCATGCAATGTAAAAATTACAATGTGGTTACATTCTATTTTTTAAATGAATGATTACAATGAATACAAGCAAAAAAACCCCCAGCATTTTTCTCATTTTCCTTATATGATTAAACATTTTACTTATTACAGGTGAAAAACAAATTATTCCCAAGGGCCCACATACATTTGTTATAGATTAACAAAGTGTAAGCAAGCAAGGTTCTCAGTCAGGTCTTTTACTAGCAGGCTGCATTTTGCAGTTACAAAGAAAGGATCAATCATTTTATTATTTATCTCAAAAGGTAATCTTATAAAAGAATCATAAATCTAAACTTTTATGTATTAAAAAAGTCATTTCTACTTTAAATCCTCAGAGTATACGTCTATTTATCAACAGTTTTTTATTAAATCATCCCAGGAAGCTGAGGGCAAAAATGGGTACAAGAAATTAATCATAGCCTTTGATCACTAAGCCATTTCTAGCAAGAACGTCTTGTCAGCTAGTAATAACCCAGCTGCCTTTGTTTTTTCCCTTGCTCAACTATTAAAAGTGTGCTTTTCTAAACTTAAATTGTTCCCAAGATGTTCTACATCAAAGCCAAAAAACATCTTAGCCTAACCTTTACTAACAGTATACATCTCTAAGTTCTTTCTAAGGGTGGTGGTTGAATCATTAGTCTGTGCCAGCAACAATTGGAAAAAGTCAATCACTATTATTGTAAGTACCAGTAACACTGCCCAGGGAGGGACTAGAAACCCCTGAAAGTTTCCACACAACTCATATAAGGGCCACGGTGACTGCTATGGCAGTAACAGCATGGGGTCCTCAGGACACATAGACTTCGGGGCTCTGCCTCTCTAAGGCTGACCGCTGAGCCATATCCCATGAGTTCCAAAGCTGCTTGCTGTTCCTTTCACATGGCTCACAACAATAGACAACATTGCAAAACTATCTCAAAAAACATCAAACAAACAGACCAAAAAAAAAAAAAGCCAAACCCATATTTTATGTAGTTACAAGAAAAATTTTAAGACAGAGCCTTAGATTGCAGTGTTCTGCAGCATGGACCTTAAGAACTTGGGATATTGACCAGACAAAGGTTAACTCTTGAATCCCAGGCATCAGCCTGGGAATCCAGCATGGGACTGATCAAGACCCCCTGAATCTGGGTGTCAGTGAGGAGGCCTAGGGAATCTATTGAGCCTTGGGCAGAAGATCAGTACCCATCCCAAGTATACACACGGACTTTGGACTCCCATAGAACAATGTGAGGTGCACTCTCACCCTGAACTCTTGGGGAAGGGTCTAGGCCCTGCCCTATATGAAATGACAGACTATGGACACCCTCATGGAGGGCCTCACCCTCCCTGGGGGAATGAGGGGATAACGGGGGGGGGGGGGATGGGGGGAGGGCATGGGAGGAGGGGAGGGAAAGGGAGAGGGACCTGGAACTGACTTGTGAAGCAACCTTGTTTCTTATCTAAATTTAAAATGGAAAATAAAAAAAAAAAAGAACTTGGGATAATTTAGACAATGTGTGCTGACAAGCAACTCATGCTCTGAGATGACCAAGTCTGCTTCCTGCTCTGCCTCGGTGGTTAGAGTGAAGCAATCTCCTACTGATAGATTATACAACAATGGCATTGCCCGTTGAGGCACACTAGTGCCAAGTATTTTCCTCCCATCTTTGTCTGTTTTTCCCCTCTTAAGATTATGTTCAAATATAAAGAAAAGAACAGCATAATGAATGATATATACATATCGTGCCCATTAACATTTAGCTCCCTGTATTTTTTTTCTGAATTATTTTAAAATACAGATGATGAATGTCAGGCTAAACGTCTGTATGCATATTAAATCCATTTTCCTGAATAAGCACAAAACAATTATCCAATTAATAACAATTATCTAATATCATCTAATACTCCAATCCAAATTCCAGTGCAGTTGTCCTAAGATATATTTCTAGTTCAGTTACTAAGTCAGAATCAAGCAAAGACAAATGTCAGATGTAGTCATCATGTCTCCAGTTTCTCTTGAGCTAGAACAGCCCTCTCCTTCAGTCTTGTCTTTCTAAAAACATGTTTTATTACATGTATGTAGCTATTGATTTTGTATGTGTATCCGAGTGCACGTGGAGGCCAGAGGAGATCTGTAGGAGTTGGACCTGGAGATCTAACTCCTATCTGCAGGCTTGGGAGCAAGTGCTTTTGCCCGCTGATCATCCAGAGGGCCCCAGCCTTACCTTTTATTTATTTATTTATTTTTAGTTTTTTTTTTTTTTTTTTTTTTACGAGACAGGGTTTCTCTGCATTGTTTTGGAGGCTGTCGGTCCAGCCCGGCCTCGAACTCACAGAGATCTGCCTGCCTCTGCCTCCCGAGTGCTGGGATTAAAGGCGTGCGCCACCACTGCCCGGCCTTACCTTTTATTTTTAACCACAACAATTTAAGAGATCGGTTCTAGGTGTGCCTGACTGTTTCTACTTTTTTAATCCGTAGGAATGGTTTCTGAAACAGGAGGATACAACAGGTTTATGTTGAAGTTACAGACCTTTGCAAATTGTAATTCACAGATGCTAGAGTGACGCTTCATGTCAGAGGACAATGCCAGGGAAGTTACCACATTGACTTGCCATCAGGTGAGAGAGTTCAGGGATCACAAGCAGCGTGAGTCTCCCTCCCCATGACTAGCAGTGATGGATGTGTGTGTGTGTGTGTGTGTGTGTGTGTGTGTGTGTGTGTGTGTGTGTGTGTGTCTGTGGGGGGGGTTACCTGAGACCTTACATACATCCCTGTGGTTCCCAACAAGGGGTTTCACTGATGCTCCTGAAAAGGTTTGTTTCATCAGAGACTGAATGGTGATGTATGCATTTAGCTGGTATAGGTTTTGCAAACAACTGCTTCTTCATCTGCTAATGCTATAAGGCTTTCCAAAAATACAGTCGGTACTAGAAAGGCAGAATAAACACTATTCTGTTAAATAACCACTTTTTAAGAGTAAAGAAATGTTCGCCACTGATGGTGTAGCAAGATAACTTTCTTTTCTGTTTTAATTTGGCTTACTTCCTGTGGGGAATAACACATATTTAATGCTAACGATCAGTTGTCTTGATGCTCAAATTGTTCTCATTCTGTCTAGTGGGCAGTCTTTTAGGAATGACCGTGTTTGTATCGGGATTCTCCCTTTCTGAAGCATGCTCTTTTAAGAGGTATTGTTCATTCCTAGTTTTGACCCGGATTCAAACATATCTCCAGGAATCCTGGCACTTGTCCGGGTATATCTGTATTTAGATCAATATCTGAGAGCCAATGGTAGTCAATTTTCTAGGCCTTCAGTTTGCACTCCTCTCTTCACCTTAAGATTAATAACATATGATTTTTTTTTTTTTTTTGGTATTCGTTTTTCAAAAGAGTTAAGAGCGAGCAAAGATGAACAGAGGGTCCAGCGGATGCCATGTCGGGATTTGAACCCGGGAAAGTGCGTCCCAGGCATCCAGACTTGAAAGCTTGTTAAATTAGCCAGTGGTCCCCGCTCCAGGGGAGAGTGAGGCAGGAGGGCTGCCGCGGGTTCCAGGATAGGCCGGACAGCAGCGTGAGGCCTTGTCTTACCTGCGCCGGGCGTGGAGCTTACCGAGAGAACTAACCAGGGGCTGCCAGGCGGGGAGAAGACGGAAGCGTGGGGCCGCTCTCGAGCTGCCCGTTAGGTCCGCCAATCAGCGTAGCCTCAGGCAGGGGGCCGGACATCCGAGGAGTGCATCCAATGGGAAGACTGCCCCGGTGGGAGGGAGGCGGTGCAGACGGACCAATCACAGTAGTCGCCTCACTCCAGCAAGCCGGCAACCAATCCGCAGCGCGCTCTCTTCGCAGCTCCGCCCCCTGCCCTGCGCTCGCGCGTGGGTGCCGGCGCGCTGCTCCTGCGGCCGCGCCGGCCGGCTCATCAGTGCTTGGCGCTGCTGGCGTGGACAAGCAGGTATGGCGAGCTCCGGCTGTGAGGGCCATGCGGGCCAGGAGGGGGAGACGTTCCTGTATTTCGCCTATGGCAGCAACCTGCTGACCGAGAGGATACACCTGCGAAACCCCTCGGCCGTGTTCTGCTGCGTGGCGCGCCTGCAGGTCAGTGCCGTTGTGCCCGCTACCGGGAGAGCGGGCCAGGTGTGACCCCTGCCGGGGACCTTTGACTACCATCGGGGTTCGCAGCCCTCCACTGGCTGCCCTTTCCCACCGACTTCCAGCATCTTGTAGGAAGCCTTCGCGATGGGTGCTTTTTTTTTAGTTGAGGACTAGCCGTTTTCCTGACTGTGCATACCCTTGTCACAGCACTTGTCCCACCGTTCTGTGAAATTCTGTGTAGTCTTTTCCTCCAGATCTGAGTGGTCCTGTTCCTGAGATCTGGATCAGGACCTGGAGTCGTGTCTTCCCTAGTGATGGCGGTGCTCCTTCAGGAGAGTACCTAACCGATAAACTTTTAACTAAGTCTGGTGAACTGTGGCTCTTGACCATAGTTCGCTTGCTTATTGCATACGTATTTTCTGGGATGCAGTGCTGGGGTTACAAAGATGACTAAGCAGCCTCGCTACTTGGAGGACCCACCAGTGTACAATCCGGTTGTGTGCAGTGCCTTTGACAACTTGAGCCAAACACTCATGGTCTTTGCTAACCTTGTCAGAGTTCTTGGTTTCAGGCAACAGAAACCAGCTGGTTTAAGAAAGAGGGGATGGGAGGGGGGATGTTGGGAGGCTGTTGGAGAGCTCATGCGATCACCTGAAAGACTGGAGTACAGAGCTGAGTGAACAAGCAGACCTGGTGTGTGTGGGTGTGTGTACACAACCAGCATCGCTGGAGAGGACCAGCCCAGCCCTGGGAGATGGTGTGTGTAGGGTGTGTGTGTGTGTGTGTGTGTGTGTGTGTGTGTGTGTGTGTGTGTGTGTGTAGTACCAGCCCAGCCCTGGGAGATGGGCTGCACCTTTCCTGAACTAGTAAATACGATGTGGAGCTGGCTCCAGTCTGCTGCTGTGCCTCGCAGACTTACAGATTCTGAAACCCAGAGTGGAGTCCCTGATGATCTTGAACACTAGCTCTGATTGAGAACCTCTCTGGATGCCCTGATTGGCTAAGTCTCGCCATGTATCCATGCCCTTACTGCAAGATGATCTGATAACCAATTTCTAGCCTTTGAAGTTTTAAAACTGGGAGTTACTTCGGAAAGCATGAGAGTGTAGGGAGTTCAAATGCATAGTCAGAACGCAGGGAAGAAATATCACATAAATAGTAAATTATAGAGCTGTGGTTAGCCCCTTTTAAGAGGACATGCAAGGTGCCACAGAATATATGACCAGAGGACCTGACCAAAATGCTGAGAAAAGCTCTCCTGGGTGTAACTTTGAAGCTGAGACCGGAATGGAGAGATGGGGAACAAAGCAACAGCAAGGCGAGAGAATGCTTATCCAAAGAACCCAAGGAAAGAGGAAGTGGGCATCCCGGCCAAAGTGGCCGGAGTCTGGTAGGGAGATGTGGCATGAGGGAAGATAAAGTTATCACATCTTAATGTGACCACAGAGACCTTAGGACAATCTCTTGCAGGCACTGAGGATCAAAGCAAATGATGGGATTTACATCTTTCTGGTTATTATGCAAAGAGGAGCAAGTGTGGATATTGGGAGCCCAGTGAAGATTTTTGCCACATTCATATCAAAGATAATGCCATGATGATCTAACAGGGTGGAGTCAGGGAAGGTCGATGGCTCTGAGCAATGCCTAGAAGATAGCATCATTGAACCTTCATGACTGATTGTGTGTGTGAAGGGAAGCGATGTCGAATATGACTCAAGTTTTTGCACAACCAGGTAGATGATGGTGGTCATATTTACAGAGGAGAATCAGGTTTGGAAGGTAAAAATTACTGACTAACTTTGAACATAATCTAAGATGCTTCCTAGACAATCACAGGGACAAAAGATTATCAGTGAACATTCGTTAGGCACTTTCTGTGTGTGTTGGGCCCCTTTCTAAGTGATTTCGAGTCTCAGAACAGAGATGTGGGCTGATTTTAAAGGTGGCAGAGGCATCCAATGGTATTAGAAACTGTTGGAAGTGATGAGGCTCTCCTGGGCACATGGCTAAATTCAAAAAGGGCCTAAGCTTGAACCCCAAGAAACCCTGACATGTTAAGATGTGGAGTAGCGGGGTAGCTGGCAGAGGTGAGATCAGGTCAACCTCAAATCAGAAGAAAGGGCTGATCTGGAGAGATGGCTGCCTGTGTCACATACTAGCAGTGAGCCATGGAACCAGACTGGGAATGCAGTTGCCTGCTGCCTTTAGCAACAGGCTGCCTGTCTCTGGCGAGGATTGTATCTTTGATCAGATCTGCTGATGCTGAATTACCCAGTATGCTGCTTGAAGGTCCTGGCTACTTGGACCAGCATTTTTCCTGAATTATCAAACAAGGTTTTTAAGAAAGCATGGGTGGCAGGGATGATATAAACCAGAAAGAACTACAGCACTGTCATTTAGTCCATCTTGTGTGCTCTGAAGAGCTGGAAGGACATCTTCTTAGGCCACACAAGGCAACTGCCCTTGCTCCCTGCTTGCCCGTCAATGATAGTAGAAGCTAAACTAGAAAGGTGTCTCTGTTGCTTGTTATTATAAGACCTTAGGGAAGCGATTTAATCCTTCTATGCTGTAATTTTTCTGCTGTAAATTGAGTAAAACATTGGCCCATGTAAAGTAATAGCTAGTGCGTATAACACACAATAAATAATCAGCTGCTCTTAGGTTACTGGAAATTAATTGGTACAGTTCATGAAGATTAATGCTCATATTCCCTAACCCAGCTTATTTAGCTTAAATACAGTGATTTACAGGTAAGATACTCTACAGACATAAAAGTATATTATAACCCCTATGAAACTATCACCCAGAGTGTGTAAATGAAAAGATACATGCATTTAAATAGACTGAGAAATCATTTGCAAAATAAAAGCTAAAGCTATCGTATGGTGTATTAGGTTTCCGTAAGGATTTTGTCTTTTTATGTTTAGATGCCTGTATGTTCAGAACAAGCTTTGTTTTTAAAGGAAGATAAGAAAATCTATAGTTTGGGTCTTGGTCTGTGTATCATTATGTTCCACAACTTTGTACGCACAGAAACAAAGGTTATTGGATGTTTTTCTTTCATGAAGATCAAATCAAATCATTTGTATTTTGTGGAGGAAAATTCATGTCAAAAAAAGGTATTGATCATATATCACTTTGGTTTTCTTTGCAGGACTTTAAGCTCGACTTTGGCAATTTCCAAGGCAAAACAAGTGAGAGGTGGCATGGAGGTATAGCTACCATTTTTCAAAGCCCTGGCGATGAAGTGTGGGGAGTAGTGTGGAAAATGAACAAAAGCAATTTAAGCTCTCTGGATGAGTAGGTGGCTTCTAGTTATAAGTTAAAATGATACTTGAAGCGGGCTATATGGGTGTGCGTTTGTGGATGCACTGCAGACACATTCTTTATACGTCTACACCAGTGCAACAGTTAGAAACTCCCGGTGCAGTAATAAATCTAGAAGGGTCACATTTACTGACTGGATGTTTGTCATCTCTTAGGCAAAAACATGGAAGCTCTTATTTTTTAATTCTGTTTGCCTTCTATTAAAAATTATCTTTCTAGTTTCATATTGCAGAAAGTCATGAAGCTTTTTATAATTGTTATATATATATATATTTTGTAAGTGAGTTGATTCTGTTTTTTTAAAATTCTTTGAGGTTGCAGCTGAACAAGTAATAATAATTTGTAAAGGCACTGAATAACACAGTAGAACTAAAATTCCCAGAGTTGTGAGGCAGAGAGCCTGATACAATGTAAACTTCCAGGGAAGAGCTGGCCTTGAAAAGAAGGTAGTGTGGGGCATTCTGTTTTTGGCTCTGGCTAGAGTAAGCAGCCCCTCTGCTTTCCCCTCCCGTATTCAATTTGCTGTCAGAGTACTGCTTCAGGGGCACAGAGGTAGAAATAAGCATTTTGAATTATGTTTTCAGACAAAGACGTACAGAGGTCTGCTACAAGTGCAGTGCTCTGTGTTCACCGGGTAGTGCTTTGACCTCTGAGCACACCAGAATCTACAGATGCTAAGTTCCTTCTGTAAATTGACGTGATGCTTGCATGTGACCTGCCCCATCCACCTGTATTGCAGCATCACCTCTGGGTCACTTCACTGCTTAATCCAACAGCAGTGTATTTTACTGTGACCGCTTTCCTTTTAAGGGCATAATAACCAGGGGGAAAAATCTGTATGCATTCAGTTAAGACCCAAGTTTTAAAATATATTTTCTGTCCACAGTTGGTTGAATCTGTGGATCCAGAAGCCAGCTGTAACATTAAAATGCTAAGCATGCCAGATGTGGTGTCACACAAAAACAAGACTGGTCATACTTTTAATCTCAGCACTCAGGAGACAGAAGCGGGTGGATCTTTGTCTATTTGAACCTAGCCTGATGTACACAGTGAGTTCCAGACCAGACAGGGCTATATAGTGTTAAAAAAATGCTAAGTGTACATTTGACATGGTGGCATTTAGTGAGCAAAGATGCCAACACAGATATGTGGTTAATTTTATACTACAACTTTAGTGAAGCATCTTACCTTATAAACCATTCTCCTAGATCCCATGTGACTAAACTGTGGTTTGTTTGGTTTCAGGCAAGAAGGAGTGAAAAGTGGAGTGTATGTTGTAATAGAAATTAAAGTTTCAACTCAAGAAGGGAAAGAAATAACCTGTCGCAGTTACCTGATGACGAATTATGAAAGTGCTCCCCCATCACCACAGTATAAGAAGGTGAGCTACCTGGGCTGTGGTGAATCGTTTTAATTTCTCTGGGCTAAATTAGAGAGCATTTCATTTTTAGAAAGCTTTTAGGAATGTAAAATTCCACATGAACATTTTAATCAAAATGTTTTAAATAAGGAAAGTGGATTTTAATAGATTTATAGTATCTATTATATGTGTATGATAGTCTATATACTTTTATAAATTTTTTTTCCCTCAACAAATGTTATCTCATAGAACAGATTCATTTTGTTTTGTGGAGGGGAATGTATTTTCCTCTACTGAAGTATTTTCTTCCCTAAATGGGAAGGTCACTACGCCTTTTGGATCAGGGAATCCACCCTCCAAAGCAAATGACAAGTGGGTAGAGGCCCCTTGGTAGAAACTGAGGCTAGGTACTGTGTGTGGCCCGTGGGACCTGGCTCAGCACAGGTGCTGAACCTCTGGCATGGTGCCCAGAGATCAGCCTGGTAAGGGTCTGGGAATCCTCTGAACAGCCGTCCTTTGTCCCCTGTGTCTCCTCTGAGCAGAAGTAGACAATGGCACTGATAGCTGCTGCCTAAAAGCTTGGCCTTTGTTTTTTTAATCCAATATATTTTTTTATTTAAATTAGAAACATGCTTGCTTCACATGTCAATCCCAGCTCCCTCTCCCTTTCCCCTCTACCAGCCTCTCCCCAATCCCCCCCCACAATCCCCACACCATTCCCCAGGGAGAGTGAGGCCCTCCATGGGGGATCTCCAGAATCTGTCATTTCACCCAGAGCAGGACCTAGACCCTCCCCCATGTGTCCAGGCTGAGAGAGCATCCCTCCATGTGGAATGGGCTCTCATAGTTCATTTGTACGCCATGGTAAACACTGATCTACTACTCAAGGCCCCAGAGATTGCCGAGGCCTCCTCACTGACACCATATTCATGGGGTGTGGATCAATCCCCTGCTGGCCTCTCATGGTCTTGACCCCTTTGCTCATCACTCCTCCATCTCTGTCACTGGATTCAAGGAGTTCAGTTCAGTGTTTAGCTGTGGATATCTGCCTCTGCTTCCATCAGTCACTGGATGAAGGTTCTAGGATGCCATATAAGGTAGTCACCAACCTTATCATCAAGGAGGGGCTATCAATGTAGTCTCCGCTATTGCTTAGTTTGCTAGTTGGTGTCATCCTTGTAGATCTCTGGAAATCTCACTAGTGTCAGCTCTCTCCTCAAACCTATAATGACTCCATCTATTATGGTAACTCTCATCCTGCTCTCCTCTATTCTTGCCCCGACTCAACCTTCCTGCTCCCCCATGTCTTCCTCTGCCCTCCTCTTCTCCCTCTCTTTCCCCGTTCCCTCCTCCCTCCCCCCATGTTCCCAATCTGCTCAGGAGATCTTGCCTCATTCCACTTCTCTGGGGTATCGTACATATCTCTCTTGGTCTTTTTTTTTAACGAATCTAATTTTTCTTAAAACATCATGTAAATTTTATAACAGTGCATTTTGTCTTAATATTAAAACGTTTTGAATCATGCTGTTGAGTAGAACCGACACTCAGACAATGCTTCAGGCTGCTTTGAGATCTCTTCTGCAGCCACACTCAGAGTGAGGAACAGCTGGCTGTGCCTGGGTTGTTTTAAAATGTACCAATTCTTTAGTCATCTAAAGCCAATGTCATGGGCCTCGACAGTACAGGCCAAACTATGGTACAGTCCAGCATGCTCCTAACTAAAAGGGCTTCCTCGTTTTAACCTTTCCTAGGTTATCTGCATGGGTGCAGAAGAAAACGGTTTGCCACTGGAGTATCAAGAGAAGTTAAAAGCAATAGAACCAAATGACTATAAAGGAAAGATCTCAGACGAAATGGAAGAAATCATCAAAAAGGGGGAATCAAAACTGTACAGAACATAACAGGAGGATATTTCTGTGTGCAGTGTTTGTGAGCAGGAATCTGGGACCTTCCTGTTTTTAACCTATTCATTTTTAACAGTGCTGTGAAGGGGCTTCTCTCTTAGGTGATTCCATATTTCCAGATGTAAAAAAGAACCGGAATGGGGATAGAAATTAGACAATTAAAAGGGACCAGGATGTCCTGGAGTGTGTAAGCCGTGATGGCTGTGGGTTCTCCTGTGGACACGTTCTTATCCCTCGGGAAACATCTCACTGTGCTCTGTGGGACAGGGTAGGTTTGCAGCCCGGTGGCACATTGCTGCCCTTGGTCTGCTTTCTGCTTGTTTGTAAGAGTAAGCAAACTATAAAGAGTTGGTGATAAGATTTTGAGAAGTAGAAAGCTGACACACTGCCCTTTGAAGCTGTAAGGGGTTTCCCAGCAAGTGCTCCACCTCTCTCTGCTCGGCTCAGCCTCACGGTGCTGGCCTTGAACCTGTGTCCCTCTTGCTCTCAGCTTCTCCTGTAGTTGGGAGTAGGGTCCTGTGCCACCAGGCCAGCTGAGTCACCACTGTCCAGTTGTGAGCCTTGAGCTTCTTTGGGTCTCTGTACCTTATTTGCCTCACCTGTGCAAACAGGGGTAATCAGAACACCTGTAACTGCAGCTAGTTCTGAAGGGTTCATGCGGAAACATGCGGCACGCGTGGGACAGAGCCTGACACTTAGCATTAGCAATCACGTCAAGTTTGGGGGTTCTTTTGTTTTTTTGAGACATAAGCTTACTCTAGTTCAGGATGGCCTTGCATTTAGGATTACTTGCCTTTCAGCCTTCCTAGATCTAGAGTTCCAGGTTTGTGCCATAATGTGTGGCAGGGGATTCAGTTTTTTTTTTTAAACCAGTGGTTTGGACCTTTCAACAGTACAACTCTAGAAAAACTAAGAAAAAATTACAGTCAGGTCCTAGATTGTAGAATATACAAAGTGTGCTAGCCCCTCTCCCAGAGAAAAAGGCGAATTGTGAGCTAAAAGAGCAAATACTGGGAAGAAATGGCCCAGTGTCCTGGAATTAGACAAATAGCCCTGGAGCATCCTGTACAGAGTAAGATAAGATACCTGAACCCTTAGGAAGGACTAACTTGGCTCCCACTTGCTAGCCCCAGCTGTTCCCTCCAGTGAAAGCAGAGAAAATAGGAACTTAGAGCTAGAGAAATAGGCCAGCATGAGGACCCAAGTTCAGTTCCTAGACCCCAGTCCAAGAAGAAAAGGAAAAGAAAGCTGGGCATGGTGTGGCAAGCTTGCTATCTTAGTGCTGGAAAAGCAGAGACAGGTGGGTCTCTAGAGCTCCCTAGCCAGTCATCCTGACCTGCTTAGAGTCCCCAGGCTGCTGAGAGACCCTGTCTCAATGAAAATGTGGGTGTCTCCCAAGGAATGACACCTGAGGTTGTCCTCTGACCTCAGTGCACACCCTCTCCCATATTCATATACACACACAAGTGAAGATTTTTATAGTTATTTTTAAAACAGCAACTAACTAGATGTGGATGTGTGTGCTAGCACTCAGTATAGTCCTGGGCTGAGGTGGGAGGATTGCTTGAGTCTAGTCTGGTCAGTATAGTGCAGCCTCATCTCAAAAAAACAAAACCCTCACCAATTTAAAATAGGAATGTATGGAGACTGATTTCAGGAAAGATGGAGTGGGTGTGCTTTTCTCTATCTCTCCAGTTAAGTACAACTAAAATCTCGGTGTACTACTTACGCAGCACACGGGGGCAAGACTGAAGGGGAGATGGCAAAGACTTCAGTGAGGCTCTAAGACTCAAGGCCCCGAGCGCTAAATTCTCTTGAGCTTTCTTTTGCCTCATACAGCTCAGGCTTATAATTAAGAAAGGCAGTATCCCAGAAGTACCAAATAGGATTGCTTGAACACACACAGCCTGCTTTAGTGATGGTACCAGGAAAGGGACAGCCTGGCAATGTAAAACATTTAGAGCTCAAACACACCACTCAGGCCATAGAGAAACAGTGTAGACTCCCAACTTCTACCACGCCAACAGAGGCTCAAAGGAGAGCCTGGATTTTCATATACTCCAGGCGTAGTAAGCCGTTGGTGGTAGTAAGCTAGTTCAGCTGGTTAATGTGCAATGCTCACAAGGGGAGATCATGAGTTTGATTCTGCCACAAGCTGGGGTTAATATAGACTGACTACTTGTGACATTTCCAATGCCCAACAACAAAATGTACATCACTAAGCCAAAGTGCCTTATTCATCAGAATGCCTTCACTTACCATAGTGACTGAGTGAACAGCCACCATTAAAATGCCACAGTGAGCAACAGGATCATGCTAGAAGCCAGTGAAAACAAAGCCTCAGTAAAGCAGAGAATAGAAAGACCCAAATGAGGGGCTGGGAAGATGATGGCTCAGTGGCTAAGAGCACTGACTGCACTTTCAAGGGACCTGGTTCAATCCCAGCACTCACATGACAGCTCACAAGTGGGACCCAAAATGCATGGCAAAACATCAGTGCACATAAAAAAAAAAAATCCAAATGGTGGTTTTAGTATTAAAAATAGAGCTGAAAGTATAAAACTATCTAAAAACTGTCTTTGTCCTCAAGCAGAATGATGGGGACAAAGGAAAGAACGAATGAACTGGGTGATGGAACACTAGCTGCCAATGTGGGGAAAAATATAACAGGTTGGAGCCCAGTTGACCCCTACCAGAAGAGCTAACTTGCAGGAAAAAGGCAGGCTGACTTTTGCAAAGGGCAAAGAAGCTGAGTGGGTCTTGAGCAAGCCCAAAGAAATACACACCCAGAGTCAAAGTTTGGAAAAAAGCAATCCAGAGTCAAAGTTTGGAAAATCAAACATTCTTGAACATAGACGTAACACTTTCAGAGAAGCACTTTTCATGAAGACAACAAAGCAAAACCAAAAACACCCGCAAAATCTCTGAAAATGAGGGCAAAGTAAGAGAGAAGGGAAAGCCTAAATAAATAGAATCATTAGCAACCCTGCCCAAAATAATGCAGAAAGTAAACAGAAGAGAAACAACAAAAGGAAGTGTTGAGCATCATAAAAATAAAAGGGTCCTGGTGAGAAAAGCTGGGGTAAATGCAATAGGCTTCCCTTCTCAACCTAATTACACTTGACAGTGGAGTAAGAGTTGTAATGCTAACTGCCAAGGTAGAGACAGTGTGGCTAAAAGAGGAAAGCAAAGAAGATACATGTGTAAAATACACCAGTGGGTAACCAATAAAACAAATACAAAAAGGAATAACTTAAAAAAGAAAACACCTCATATCTGTTAGAAGACAAGAAGCTCTGTCTGTCTGTGTGTGTGTGTGTGTGTGTGTGTGTGTGTGTACGTACGTACGTACGTGTACGTGCCTATAATCCCAGTACTTGAAAGACTGAGGGAGGGGGATCATGAATTCAGCCAGCTTCAACTAAAAAACAAAAATGAAATGGCAGAGTTATGTTTCAGCATAATCATATTAAGTGGAAGTGGTCTAAGTGTGCCATTGGAACTGCTGAAGAGTCTCTGTGGTTAAGAGTCCTCACTGTCTCTCAGAAGATCTGGATTCTGTTCCCAGCACCCACACAACAGCTCACAACCACCTATAACTCCAGCTTCAGGGGATTCAACACCCTCTCCTGGCCTCCTCACCACCTAGCATACATGTGGTATAGATACATACATGTAGGCAAACACTTAAACATGTGAAAGTAAATTAAAAGATAGAAATTGGAAAAATGTATTTAAAATACAGCCCAGTCTCTTTCTGTCTACAAGAAACTTCTACTGTAGTAAGTGAAGCAGTTTGAAAGGAAATGGTGGACAAAGATGTGAGTCAAAGCAAACAAGAATCTTGCTAGTCTCAGACAAGGTAAGTGTAGAGCAAAGGAAACAGAACAGTTGCTAATCTTACCTAACTCCACAGGTGAATATTTGTAATGAATGTTGGATTAAAAAAATGCTTAGGGAATCAGGAGTTAATAAGATTCAGCCATATCTAAGAGTTGTGAGCCATGACAAAGTGTGGTTTATTCCAGAGATGTCTTGATGTGTTCTTTGCAAATCTGTCAAGCCACTTTGGTGACAATACAAAACCAAAAGCCACAAATCAACTGATGCAGGAAAAAAACACCCATTCACAATCAAAACACTCAAGAAAAATACAAAAAGGAAACTAAATTTTACAGAGTTTATGAAAATCGTTGGTAATGTTATGCTGAATGCTTTCCCCCTAAAATCGGGAACAAGAAGGATACACGCTCTTCCTACTCATTCAACACCTTTAGAAGTTATAGACTGTGTGGTAAGGCAGAAGAAGGAAATAGTACAACGGTAAATTCGGCCAGTGAGATGTCTCTGCAGGTAAGGACTTGTTGCCAAGCCTGATAACCGGAGTTTCATCCCCAGGACCCACATGGTGAAAGGAGAAAACTGACTCCTTCAGGTTTTTCTCTGACTTCTTTTGCAACACGCGCGTGCACACACACACACACACACACACTTTAGATATAATAAAAAAAATCAATAAGTTCAACCATCCCTATTTGTACGTGGTTGACATAATTGTCCATATAAAAAATACCAAGGGAGGTTTTTCTTTTCTTTTTAAAAAAATCTCTACAATCAATAAAGTAGCTCCAGCTGGGTCAGGGGATACAAGATAAAATACAAAAAGTCTATTGAATTCCTGTATACTAGAGATGAACACATAAACATTGAAAGTAAAAATACAATACTACCTGGGGCTGTAGCTCAGGAGGAGACAGCTTATCTACCAGGTGGCCATGCATTTGATCCCCAGTATAGCAAAAGTAAAAAAACACTGGGGCCAGAGAGGGTTCAAGTGGTTAAGAGCACTGGCTGTTCTTCCGAAGAACTCAGCTTCTGTTCCCAGTGTCCACATGGTGGCTCAGGATCTGATGTCCTTTTCTGGCCTCCACATGTACCAGGTATGCACGCAGTATGCATACATACATGCAGGCAAAACACTCATACACATTAAAAAGCAAATTAAAAAAAATCACAGATTTTAGCTATATTTTTATAAGATAGCCATGTTAAGTGGACAGTTAGCATTTTATACATTTAGTGTTATAACCATTTCCAGTTCCAAAACATTTATGTCACCCCCAAGTGAAACCAGGTACAAAAGTTTGCTGCCTGCCCTTCTCCCACGCCTGTGAACCTCCAGTCTATTCTCTGTGTTTGTGGATTTAATTAACATGTATATTTCATATAAAGGTGATCATGCAAGTGCCAGTCTGTATAGTCCCTCCAGTGCAGTGTCCTCAAGCTTCACTCTCACGGTTGTAGGCATCTGAATCTCATCCCTTTTTATGAATGAATATCACAAGTTGTATACATACACTTAGCCTTCATCTCATCATGGGCCCTTGAACTGTTCTCATTTCCATCTATTATGAGTATTTCTTCCAAGAGCATTTATGTACACATATCTTTAAAACTTTTTTGGGCACATATTTTTGACTGCCGCTTTCCAATTATTTTGGATTTATACCTAGGAGCAGAATAATGGATCATATGGTAATCCTATATGTTTTCCTTATAATCACCACAATTTCCCACTTGGGCTGGAACATTGTAATTCTGACCAATCATGTATCAGCTGCTTTCCAAAAAATGAAACTAGTAGTTGTGCACAGTGGTATGTGCCTATAATCACTGCACTTGGGAGACTGAGGAAGAAGGATTATGAGTTCAAAGCCCACAGGGACCATATAATGAGCTTCTGTTTCAAAATAATAGCAAAAAAGAAGCCAGAAACCATGAAAATGCTTATGTGTAAATCTTAGACAACTATGAGCAGGGTGTGTAGTGAAAACTACATTACACTTTGAAGAGAATCAAAGTGAACATAAGTGAATGGAAAATAAATGGGAATAATCATGTGTTTGGAGACCTGAAGGAAATATCACTGTGGAAGACTCATTAAAACTGTTGGTTCTCCCTGAGCCCAGAACAGAATTAGCAAAACTGTTATCAAAATTATAACACGACTCATTTTTCTAAAACTGTCAAATAATAGGTAAAACAATTTAGAGAGAGAGAATAAAATGAGAACTTGGTATAATTGCTAATGAATGAATAGATGTGTAGAGTAGAACAGAGAACACGGGAAAACCCCATGAGAAAACACCAAACTGACTTCTGGCCAAAGCAGTTTCATGGGAGAACCCTTATAGCAAATGGTCCTGAATCCACGAGGGAACACTGTATAAGGAGAGGGAGGACTTTAGAGTGCAAGAATAACCTCAGAACTTGGGGGTGGGGTGAGAAACCGCAGTGTGAGGCTAGTCTGGGCTACATCACAAGACCCTGTTATGGAAAAGAAACAAGTAATAGAATCCCAGACCTGTAAAACGATTAGAAAAAGTTGTAGTTGCCAATTTTAATATCTAGGAGTTGGCAGAGTTCAGATTTGGCTCCAGAAGCATGGTCGATCAAAGGGAAAGTGAGTAAGCTGAACCCCAGAAAATGAAAGGGCAAGCAGGGTTCTGAGCATGCAGCTTGGCTGCTAACATCCTTGCCTGGCATGCCCTGGGTTTGGTCTATGGCGTCTGATCACAGTGGCCTACGTTTGCAATCCCAGCTCTTGGGAGGAAGACTAGACGTCCAAGGTCTTTTTTGGCAATCTAGTGAGTTTCAGGACAGCCTGGAATATGGGAAACCCTGTCAGAGAGAGGGAAGGAAGCAGAGAAGGAAGAGGAAGACAGAAAAGGCAAAGAATGGGAGAAACAAGTCATACATGGAAACTCTCAACATACAACACTTAGAAAATTAACAAGAGACATGTTTTCCTCTAGAGAATATACAGATGGCAAGCAGACACATGCAAGAACTCTAGCATTATCAGCAAGCTAAAACCACAGTGATGTCTCACCAGGACAACACAACTGGCCAAATGGCCAAGACAAGACAGGATAGCACCAGAGGCTGGTAAAGAGCTATGAAGCAGTCTCTTGGCAGGTCGACGGTGGAGGTGTTAAATGCTTCAGTTATTACAGAAGATAGCCCAGTTTTTGAGAAACTGACCTGCAGAAACAAAGCCTTCAGCTTACACACGATCTTGTATGGAAATGAGCCGAGTAGTTACCTTACAGTAATGGAGGGCTGAAAATTGCTTAGTTGTCTGTGAACAGGTGAGCAGTGTTTTTAAAAAATGACAGGAACTCATGTCTTGGAATACTGCCCAACAGTAATAATAAAAGGGAAGTAACTATTGATAGAAGCAATGGTCTATATGAATCCTTTCTGGACTTTACTAAGTGAAAACAAAACAATACTCAGCTACTATCCAGAGCTGATGAGATGGCTCAGCAGGTAAAGGTGCCTGCTACCAAGTTTGAGTTCAATTCACCCCCCAAATCCACATGGTGAGAAGAGAAAACCAACTCCTGCAAGCTGTCCTGTGCTCCACGCGTGCACCGTGATATGCATGTACTTAAACACAGAGAGAAGATGCAATGCAAAATTTACAATGATATCCTAAAGGGCAACCTGATGCACGATTCCATGTGTTTAAGTCTTGAAAAATTACAGAAATGGGAACTGGTTGGCAGTTGCCAGATGCCTAACAGAGGCTGGGCCGATGTAAAGGGATGCTTCTGGTGGATCTGTTCTGCATCTTGATAGGATTACTATCTATTTTCTGCTCACCATAGCTTTTAGGACCATAACTCCACAGGGTTGGGGGGAATTGGGTTAAGGGTGCATGGGTCTGTGCATTATTTCTTCCAATTCTTTATTTATATACAATTATCCCAAAAGAAAAAGCCCAAAATAACAAGTAAGGAACAGCTGTCTCAAAAAAGAAAAAACGGAAACTAAGCAAAGAGCAGAAGACTAACAATGGGCCGGGGTACGTTTGGCCCTGGGTCAGTCTCCAGCACTGAAAACATCAGACTCTTAGAAGAAAAGTTGTCCCTGCCACTTGGGGCACCGCAGCACACTGCAGGAGCAAGGAGAATCATGGACTTCTCTACACGCCACCCCCCCCACCGCCACACACACACTTACACCCTTACACACTGTGGCCCACCGAACTTGCAAAGTTTCAGTTTTGCTTTTCTCAGAGGACAGCCTTCATGCGAGTTTTCTTATCCATGACTGTATGTGGCCACATACCTGGAAGCACTTTTGACTAACTGTCAATAATGTTTAAAAATGCTTATTCAGAAAATGTATTAGCAAGTTAATTCCTTCACGTGGTTACAGTAAATGAAAAGGCTCTAAAACGTTCACGATCAAGAGAAGACTTAACCACAGACGGGAAGAAAGTTTCGTTCCCTGAAAGTAGATCAAACTAAAGTTTGCTTAGTGGGCAGCTTCTTGCGAGTCACATACTGCATTTAACAAGCCCCCTCCCCCGGGTCCTGGCATTGGTTGTGGTTACAGGCTTTGGGTGGCACTTTCAGGGGGGCGGGCCTTGGCTCTCAGCGGCCGTGGCAGAGCTGGCACGACGAGTTCCCAGTGTGTCAACCCTGGGCCGAGGCCTGCCCACTAACCGCTCCTCTGGGGCAGCTCGTACAGCCGAGTGGCGGCGGCGGCTCTGGCCGGGGAAGAGTGGCAGGGAGCCCGTCCCCGCCTCGTCCTCCCGCTCCGCCCCATCCTCTCCTTGGAGCCCACCCGAGCCTGGCCAGGACAAGGCGGAGGAGCGGTGGTTCCCTCCAGTTCCCGTTCGCGGACCCCGAGCCGCAGTGCCCGCCCTGCCCTCCAGCGGCTGCTGCCTCTCCAGATCCGCGACCCTAGCCCCTGGATCCCCGCAAGGCTGACCACCGCGCTCCCGAGCCACAGGAGTCCAAGTCCTGCCTGTCAACTTGGTAAGTCGTTGGGGTTGGTGCGTGCAGGCTCTCCGAACCAGTTGAGGAAATGTAAGGCTACTGTTGAAATCTCTGGCTGAAACCGGGAGGAGAAGCCCCCCCGCTACCCCCCTCCCCGCCTCCCTCCACCCCGAGTTTCAGATGCAGGCCAAGTCGGAGGAGTGAACTTCACAGCCAGTGGAATCGAAGATCCCGCTGTGACCTAAGGCCCGCATTCTCAGCTCGCCAGCCTGCAACTTAGTATCATTAAAAGTGGACCTCGTAGATCCAGATGACCAGACTATTCCACAGACCAATTCTGTCGGAATCTCTAGGCTATTGCTTCAGAGCTGTCGCGGATAATTCCAATGTGCACGTAGGGTTAGGAGTCAAAGACCAACGGGTAGCCGCCAAAACAAAGTGCCTGCTGACTGGGACTTCCCGGAGTGCAGCCTGCAGACAGGCCGGAGGCTTCCAGGGACCTCCTAAGGTCCTGAGGTCGAGGGGAAGACTTCCCTTGTTTCACGAGATACAAAAGAAGGAAGCAAGACAATGCTAGCTTGGCAGGGTCGCTTTTAAGAGTGAAGGCAAAGGTGTGCCTGCAGGACAGAATCAGAGTGCTTCCTTAAAAGCAAGTTCCTACTTTAGAAGTTACGAATACCCGAAAACCTGGAGTGTTCAGGGTTAACGTCCAGAAAGTCTGTTGGAGAGGGGTCCCCCTGTTCACACCTGAGAGTAGATGCCAGTGATCCAGGAACCACTGGAAAATGGACAGTCATCCTCATACATGCTGGCCAGGGGAGAGGCAGGTTTAAAACCCAGGGTCTAGAGGTAGAAAAGGGCCCTTCCAAAGGCTGCAAGAGTAGGCTTTGTTTTTGTAGAACAGAGACCAGATAAATCTGGCTCCAATCTTTGATTCTGTCACTTGAGTGATGTGATCAACAAGTTAAAAGTGGCTCCTCCGAGCTTCTCTTTTCTTACTGATAAAGTCCAGACAGAGTGAAGCTAACAGCTGGATAAGGTAACATTATATGGTCCACAGCAGGGGTTCCATTACTGGAAGATAGAGTAGTGGTAATTTATGTACCACAATTATCTCTTTTTAGTAAAACCACTACGATGGAGTGTGTTTGTCTAGAAACTGTGTTCCTTAAAGCCTCATTATCCTGTGTTTCTATACCATATATGTTTTTTTAAACAGTTGCTTTCAAGAAAGCTGGGCTGTCAGCAGGACTTAAAATCGATGCGGCACACACGGCTCTCTTGCTGGCAACAGCAGGAGACAGTGCACTCGGAGTTCTTGTTTTGCTCTTGACTGTTGGCTTGGGAGTCTCTTATCAAAGACCAAGGACAGTCAGGGATCTGTATAAGAGAATTCCAAAATCTGGCCTTACTGGTGCTTGCCTCTCATTTAAAACTGGCACCCAGCTGCCCACTCTGTTGGGACTGTCACTGCCAGAGTTAACAGGGAGCAGTAGCACTGCTTAGATAAGACATTCAGAATATAAACTGTGAAGCCGTAGAGGCATGGAGGACAAGTGCCGGTCAGTGTATGTGTGGTCACTGATATTTATTTCAACAAAAAATACCAAGGCCATGTCTTCTATCCAGAGGAAAGGCTCACTGCTGAAAATGGAAGGCATTTGATTTCTAGGATTGGGATTTTTAAATGACAGTTTCTTCTACATTTTTTCCTTGGGAGGGTTTTGGGCACGATGAAGTTAGGAGAGTTTCTGTGTACTTGTATGTCCTGTAGCAGCCTGCTCTTCGATGTCCACAGGTTGTGAGTATGTCTGTGGAGGCTCACGGAGGGCTGGTTTTTTCTTTATACTCCGTAGTGAGAGGGAGTAGTTGCTGTCTTTTCAATTAGCTGATGGATTTCAGCAAGTACTGGGACCCTGGCCAACACAAGACTTCCTGGCTTGGATGTTTATTTAGACTTGAATTTCATCTGGAATTGGCACCAAACTGTGGGCAGAGAGTCCTATGCAGAGTCAGTCACAGCAGGAGGCTCCACCCTCCCCATTTACTCTCCTGCCAACCCATGGAGAGCAGGCTGTCATCTGGTGGAGCCCTATCCTGGCCTTTGATGGAAGAGAGTCCCTAGAAAGGGATGCACTTCTTTGTAGCCAGTGAGGCAATGAAGTACCCTGTTTCCTTAAAACCAACAGGCTGAGCCATAAACTCACTTTAGAATTTGTTTTCACAGACAAGTAATTTTCCTCAGAATTATAGAGTAATATATTTTAAAGGAGTAATAAATGGTTGAAGACAAAGGCCCAGGAAATGACCCGGTGAGCACATGATTAGCACTAGGTCTTGGTAGGTCATCATCATTGCCACTGCTGTGCTGGGGACTGAACCTAAGACTACTAGGCAAGAGCTCTGCCATTGCCCTATAACCCTGCCCTCTTCTTACTCTTAAGATCTTAAGTCGGGGTCTCACTAAATTGTCCAGGCTGTCCTTTAAACTCTGCCTGTGGCCCAGCTTATGGGGTCTACCACTTTAACCTCCTGAGTGGCTGGGGTCACAGGCCTACATCCTGCTATACATTTGCTCTAGACTGGAGCTGCCCCTTGCTCTTCTGTTGCGCTGTCCCCACCACGCAGGTTAGGGTTGGAAGAAGTGTGGGGTACGGTAGTAGTTAATGACTCTGTGGATGCTTGCACGGTCATGTGCCGCCACGTAAGAAAGTCACGTATTAATGAAGAAACTTCTCCAGTGGGAGGAGAGTTGTGAGAAGGTAAATTTCTCTTGGGGGGAATATGTGTGTCGTTTCTAATTCCCAAAAGATTAAATATGCAGTGGCCAAGAAATTCTGTGCTTATGTTAGCAAGATCTCACTTTTCCCCCTTATGACCCACAGAGCAAACTTTCTGGAAGGAAGTAGGTAGAAGACTAGGCTTTCCCTTGGGGGCAGGCAGTCTCTGAATACTACAGGACAATAGACCTTCCCTTGAGAGGGCCTCCCTGGCTCCATTTAATGGTGGGATTTAAAATTTTTATTTCATTGTTATTATTTTTTTGAGGCAGGGGGTCCCACTAGCAGCCTTGGCAGTCCTGAAACTCACTGTGTAGGCCAGGCTGGCTTCAAGCTCAAATGGATCCTCTTGCTTCTGCCTCTCGAGTGTTGGGATTGAAAGCAGGCATCACCGTGCCAGGTACGATGGAGTTGAAACTTGAAATAAACATGCCACCAGGCTTGCTTCCTGAGGCTTCAAGTACAGGCACGTGATCTCTGTAAAGCAGACAGCAGATGGATGTGGAAGAGACCGTGGGCTTTGGACTGGGAGAGGGGTGTCACACCATTACTTGTGCCTTAACTAAAGGTGATGTCTGCGTTTGCAAACCTAGGACATTCTTTCCAAACAGGGTGTTTTGAGCCAATGATGAGCTAATCTGTGAAGCACCCTCCACCTCACCTAGCTTCCAGTAAGTGGTGATTACTGTGGTGGTAGTAATAATGATGGCAACTGTGGTTCCAGGGCTGGTTTCACCATCTCCTCGTGTGACCTTGGCCTGGGCTCTGGCTTCTGTAAAATAGAGGTCAGTGCTCATCTGGAAGAGCTGGGTTGACGCTAGGTTTGGTGAAATGAGGTGAGGATGACATGGCAGATTCCAGATAAGGATGGACAGGCCCACAGACTTGCTGTGTGACACATGGAGCTAAGGGAGGCATGATGTGCTAGGTTTTTCCCCTCACTTAGTCTTCCCAACAGCCCCCCAGGATGTTGAATCTCCCATGCTCCAAGTGGGGTAGCTGAAGTCCCATGAGGTTAAAGGACTAACAGTGCTCCACTCAGGATTTGAAGCCAGCCCAGCAAGCCTGGGTTCTTAAATTCTACCTGAATGTTCAGTGGGACCCCGCCCTCTCTGCTGGCCCCGCCCACCTCTCCAGGCTTCTACCTGTAATTAAGGGCAGGTGTGTGCATGTCTCCCTGCAGAGCAGTGTTTCTGCCAGTTTAAGGAGTGGAAGTAGGAACTTCCTCTTGTGCCCCTCAGATGACTTAAACCCCAGCCATTGCTTGGACTGTAACTGAGAGAAAAAACCAAAAGCCTTGTTACTGGTATGGACTTAACTTTATTAGAGTGTATTATAATGTTTATTTTGTGATAGTATCTCCCGAATGCAGCCAAGTACACCTTTATGGCAGGCAGGTGTGTGGGTGTGTGTGTGGGGAGCACAGAAACCCTACCAGGATGGGACTCTGGGAAAAGCGGCAGAGTTTAAATAGTTCTAGGAATATCCCAGCTTTCGTGGTTTGATTCACTCCGCTATCTTTTGCATCCCAATGGCTTGTTTCTCTTCTGCACCGAGATCTGGCAACCTTCCCAGACTTGTGTGGGGTAGGGTGAATGTCAAGAGTAAGTGGTAGGTGCTTTAGCACATCTAATAATGAAGTGGACGTTTCCAGGGGTGTGAAGTGCTTTGCTGGCTCCTTAGCCTTGAAGGAATAAAACCGTAACTCCTGGTTCTTCCATGCGCTTTGGAGTTTCAGTTCTTCAATACTTTAATTCAACACTATCAGAAGATCTCACTGGGAGCAGAGGTATATTAATACTTGGGAACCAGGGGTATAACAGGGTGGTAGAGAGTGTGTCCAGAGTTCACAAGGTCCTGGGTTAAGGTTCCAACACTACAAAACCTAAATTGGAAACTTAAAAGACTCTAGCATTGTATTAGCTGGGTTTTGTAGTGCTTGCTTTTAATCCCAGCGCTCTGAAGTGAAGCCTGGAAGATAGCAGCTTTGAGGCCAGATCTATAGAGTGCATGGCTAATGGAGTATACAAACTCATGGTGGTTATCTGTATGGCAAACAGATAGATTTTAGAGCCTGTGTTCTAAACATCAGGCATTTATTCCCTTTATTTACTTCCTTTTTCTACTTATTTATTTCCTAGAGACAAGGAGTATGAGCCTGGGCCTCTAGCAGGGTCAGGGTTAGCTAGTTCTTTACCTGGTTTACAGATGGTCACCAAGATGGAGAAAACAAGACAGCATTCTTCTGCCCCTTCTTAT